TCTGGAAATTGTTATTGAATATGTCAATGCTGTTGTAATGAAATGCCTCTTCTAATCATATGGTTATTAAATAAATAATTTTTAAAAAAGAATAAAAAGGGGGCCCCTAACTGAGCAGCCCTTGGTGGTTGATGGTTGCTGGGGGAGGGACAGTCACTTTGTCCTTAAGGGTGTAGCCACTGGTGGTCGCACATGCTCTAGTGGATGGCCTCACACTCATTTTCCATGTGCATCTGGGCAACATTAAGTGGACTCAGTTGGATACTGCACAAAAAGAGGACATGATCCTGGAAGGAGGCATGTTGGAGAAGGGTTCAGGAAGTTGGAGGGAGAAATGGGGGTGGATATGACCAAAATACATCGTATACATGTATGACATTCTCAAAGAATAAAAAAAATAATAAAAAGCATAAAAAGAGGTGAGAGTAAGGGGGGGTCACTGTGACTGTTCCAAAATCTTCCTGGCTGGGCTGGAGAGATGGCTCAGAGGTTAAGAGCACTGACTGCTCTTGCAGAGGACCCAAGTTCGAGTCCCAGCACCCACATGGTGGCTACGAACCATGTTCATTCAGTTCCAGTTCCAGGGGAATCTGAAGCCCTCTTTTGACCTCCGCAGCATTGCACGACACGGGTGCACTCACATACATGCAGGCAATATACTCATACACATAAAATAAAAATAATAAATATATTTAAAAAAATCTTCCTGCTTTAGTCTGAATGGATTTAGCAATTTTCTATCCAGAAATGCTGATGAACTCTCTGATGTTGATTTTCCTTCTGTGAGCAATTCAGAAAAGGTCAGACAGCTTTCAGGAGGAACCAGCCATACTGTGGGTCCTCCTCTAGTTTGTAAGAGGGTCCTGCTGCTGCTGGAGATTTACTCTCCTTGGAAGTGTTTGTATGATGCTGCTGAGATGGTAGGTCACTCTGTCTAGACCTCACAAGGGGCCACTGTGAGCCCTTTGTTTTGGGAATAACAAATAAGTACCAGAAGAAAGAAGTTCTACTGAAAAACAATTATTCAATTGCTCGTGAAGTGGTCAAACAGGCTGATGCCTATCAGTACATGGTGGTGTGAGAGAGTAGAGAAATGGGAGGGAAGCGCTCCTATTTTTTATGCAGCAAAATCTCTAAATATCTGGTCTTGAAAGATGTCAATCACAGCCAGTTTGCTGAATCAGGAATGTTAAATTAAAGCTAGCAATTCATTGAAAACGGAGTTTTTTTTTTTTTTACCTTTTCCCCCTAATTTTTATTTTCTAGCTATAAAAGAATTTTAGTCAGGATTAACTTGTAGGATGTTGGAGGAAAGAGCAAAGCAAGGCCATTGATGAGGAAATGTCAATATGAGTCAGAGGCAGGCCAAGGAAGGACCACTTCTTGGCCAAAATTCAAGTTAGAAGAATGGTGAATGTTGTTGGAGGGACATCCTTGGCATAATAGTATGGGCTGAGAGAGACAGTTTCTGACAAGGGAAAGCTGGATTAGCTGGAAGCCCCTCTGACTCGCTATCATGCCACTCTGGAGACACTGAACTAGGGCAGCATCTCCCATCTGCCCATTTAAAAGACATGCTTCTTCAAGGAAGCTATAATCCGAACCTCTGTTTGAGCCGGTGGGCAGCCATTACCTGGCCATTTGGCTGGCAAACTCCCTGTTCTGTGATGAAGTCAATCAGGAGGGGTGGTAAGTGTATGAACTTGTTCTTGAAGTGGCGTATGAGTTTCTGAGTGGCCTAGCAAAGGGTTTATACTGAGAATGGAAGGGTGCTTTCTCCTTGGCACCACAGAATCCTTTTCCTTTTCTTTTTTTTTGAGACAGGGTCTCACAAACTCATAAGCTCAAGTGATCTTTGTTTCTCACCTAATAACAGATAAGAGCTCTGTGACAATGGTCTGAACTTAAATCTGATTAGTCTCTTACCTTGTGCCAGCCTTTTAAAGGCCATTTTCTTTTCTTCAGCATAAATCCCTCGTGTTTGTCTGGTTTCTGGACATTGGTTTGGCCTATTTTCAGCCCTTCAATAATTTCCCAACTATCAGCTTCCTGAGAGAAAAAGAAAAACAAATCACTTATTTTTATGTGCTTAATGATATACTTAAAGGAAATTCTTCAGCAAGTAGTCTCCTTTAAAGCAACACTTGACCCAGCAGAAGTAAGAACGACATTCTGGAGCAACTGTTGCATCAAACCCAGCCATGTATTTTCAAGTGAAGTGCAAATGAATTTCCCAGGTAGGCCTGGAGGCATGCGGACTCTATGAGAGGTGCGCTGGGGCCACCTTGTTTGCTTGGGGTAGAAAGGAATTTCATTTGCCTGTACTCAGAATTTTTCAAACGCACCTTTTTTTTTTTTTTTCTCTGACAGTTTCTGGGTGAAAAGGAACTTTAAAGTTTCAGAATTAGACTTTGATAAGAAATGTTCAGTTAGTAAGTAGACCAGACTTTCCATGTAGAAATGGAAAGACACCTCACATAATCTGCTCCTAACACAGAGGAACAGTGTTGTGGTCTTGCTTCCTCCCACTGCAGCTGTGTGCATCTCCAGATAGGCATTAAAGCCTCACTCAACACACACCAAGAAAGTCAGACATCCAAAGATGCATATTTCCCTGGGAACCAATGGACAGAGCTAGGTTACAAGGGCAAGAATCTGGATCCTAGAGCTGGGGGCATAAGTCACTGTTATAACATATGCTTAGCATACACAGGCCCTAGTTAAATCCCCAACACCAAAAATAAAACCAATAAATAAATAAATAAATAATAAATAAATAAATAAATAAGAGACTTAATTTTATAGTCTGTGCTCTCACACTCCTGTTAGAATGCAGACTAAATCAGTTTCTTTTCATGAGACATGCTTTGTTCATATATGACACTAAAAGTTATCAGCATTACAAATCAGAAGATTTTCAATTTTCCAAATCCAAACTTTCTGCTAGCTTATAAGATCTTGATGACATTAAGCCTGTAAAATAAATGATGCTCATCCTCAGTTTCTAAGGTGTCCCCCATTCCCCTCTTCTTGGCAAAACTACCTGGTTCTTAAAGCATCCTGGGTTTAAAATTCCCATAATCAGATGATTGCTGTGGGCACAGTTCTCTAATGTGATCATGGATCTAGTCCACACACTTAGCGGCCTTAATTCCAGACCTTCAATCTGGTGCCCAGATCCATCACCTGCCCTTTTAACAATTAAACAGAAGTAGTGGCTCCTGAGCACAGACAGGTTTCTCATTTTTCTGACAAAACTTTTGCGCAGGGAGAGAAAAATCTCGGTGTAACCAGCTCTGTGGCTCAGCATTACAGGGGTGGATATACTGTCCACAGATCAGGGCGGGCCCTCTGCACAATGTCCACCCAAACTGATCGTGAAGTTGCCTTCCGAAAAGATCTATCCTACCAAAAACCAACTTAGGCCTCCGAATGATGGGTTGAAGGAGACTGGCCAGAGCATTTCACCTCAGGGTAGACCCAAACCAGGGACCCAAACCAGGCTTTGACAGGTTCAGAGGAGGAGGTGCCAGTGCAGGCACTCAGAGTACACAGCACCTCCTTCTCCCTTGTTCTCCTCATGTCCTAAGCTGCTTGCCTTTCGGCCAAGTCTAATTTATGCTAAATCCAAGTATGTATAAAGAGGGTATAATTTTCACATGAAGCTGTATTTTCAGGAGATGTTCCTGTCTCTGAAAAGCCTCTAAGCCTACCACCATGCCTCAGTCCTACCGAAGCCCAATCCCATAATTATGACACCCCCAGCTCAGGAAAAGAGCCTGAGCGCACTACCATTTCCTCATCTTCTTCGTCTGTGTTGAAGAATGAGCTATACACTTAGAGAAATGCACATGTGGGTATTTATTTGGCAACATTACGAATTCTTTAAAAGCCTCTCTCTCTCTCTCTCTCTCTCTGTGTGTGTGTGTGTGTGTGTGTGTGTGTGTGTGTGTGTGTGTTTTGCTTAAAGATAATTCTGCCAGAAACTGTGATTGATCTGGTCAAAACTGTTACTTAGATATAGTGATTTAAAATGTTTCTGAGCCAGTTTTGGACTCTATTGAATGTCTTTTTTGGATGACACAAGTACAGGTGGTACCTCACATGATCCCAAGTACCACTGGAGCCTTTGACTTCCTCTTTCTTAATCCTGGGTTGTAACTCAACAAGGGGACACTCCTTATAAACAGTTGTGAAATCACACAAGAAAGTAGAAAGTTCTAACAACTGTTGGCTTTCTGTTCTCTCTAGAAAAGTAAATAACTGTTATATAAAAATGATGAACACAATTAAGAAATTTTAAAACAGTAACTGTCCATATATGTGTAAATGCATTCACTAGATCTCTGTCCTTAAGAGAGATGTGAGCTGTATTTAAAGACATTTCTGTTCTCCATGGCCTCACCCATGGGGTAGTATCTCTAGAAGAATGGCATTTGCATTTCTGGCTAATCTTATTTAAAAGCCTGATCAGTATCTGTCTCTCCCCCCCCCATCTGTGTGTGTGTGTGTGTGTGTGTGTGTGTATGTGTGTGTGTGTATGTTATGAAGAATACTTTATATATCTTATGAAATGGAAGCATTTAATTACAACTACAGTGAAAAATAAAAACGACTTTTTTCTTACTACTTAAAGTCACTAATAACAAAAGCTTATCTCTTCGTAGCTATGAATATTGATTTCTGTTAGAACGGTTTTCTTAAGGAGATTAACTGGAGAGGAGAAAAGGGAGAAGAAAGAAAAGGCCAAACGTTAAAATCTATTTCTTGGGACTGAAGAGATGGCTCAGTGGTTAAGAGCACTGACTGCTCTTGCAGAGGACCTGGGTTCGATTCCCAGCACCCACACTGCAGCTACAAACCGTCCTTAACTCCAGTTCCAGGGGAATCCGACGCCCTCTTCTGACCTCTGCGGCATTGCATGACACGGGTGCACTCACATACATGCAGGCAATATACTTGTACACATAAAATAAAAGTAGTAAATAAAATACTTAAAAAAATCTATTTCTTAAGTATAAGTGCTGCAGCTATGAACAAATAATGTCATTTACTCTGATGTGACATTCCCAAGTCTAGCAAAAGTGAGAGAAAAGAACCCTAATTTAGTTCTTACGATTAAATAAGCTGTCAAGCTGACAAAAAGGCAAAGGATAAAGCCAAGCTGAACAATGGTTCCACCTATTTCAATTATAAATGCTGATGGATGATAATGTTACAAATAAAATATGTAGGAAAGGAAACAAACCATCTCAGAACTAGATAGAATCTTCTCCATTCCACTTCCCATTATTTTGAAATTCCTCCCTATTCTTAATGAGCTAGTTCTAAAGAAACTTAAAATAATTTTCTAAAAATCAAAGAACATATTTTCCTGAAATTTCAATTACTACTTATTTTCAGCTTAAAATTCTCCAATCTTCCTGGGTCCACTTAGAAACAGAAATAGAAACAAACGCCTAATGTGATCATGTCAGTATTTGACTAATAACATCAGGTGGACAAGTGAGGTATTAAAGTCTTAAAAATACGTTTATCCTAGTAAAAATAAATGAAAACAGAAGATAATCTAAGAATAGCCTGAGCCTTGTTCACTAAAAAGAAAAAGATATTTTTCCTTTCTCAAGGGCATACTCTATGAGTATCTATGTGCAGGTGTACAAGCATGCATGTTTGTGTATCTACAGGTATGTATAAAAATACGTGAAGAACTGAGAACATCAATGAACTTGAATAAATCCTGAGCAAAGGCAATGTGTGGTTCAAAGTTCTTCTACAAACCAGTGCCCAGGAAGCCTGTATTCCCAAAGAGCTGAGTGGTGGTGAGATGCTGTGGTACCTGGATGGATGCACCATCTAATTTCTTGAGGCTTCCTGATGTGTCTTTATCTACTAATACACAAGGAGAGTTTATTAGACCTGCAGCAAGATCCAAATGAGCAATAACAGAAGTAGTAGGCAGTTAATGCTGCTGGCACCCCAGCCAGGCCCCTTCATCAGGTCATCAGACCCACATCCCAGCTGCTGGGAGTTGAGCTTAGCTACGGAGGAGGGAAGAGACCTTTATTCTGAATATGTAAAATGAGAACATTAGTACCTACTTCAGTGAGTTGGGGCTGAGTGAGACTATATGATACAAAATAGGTGCTCAATACACATTGGCCTCTTCTGCTGCCCTGTATTTATTTATTCTCACTTTCTTTTCACTCACGATGGAGAACGGATGTTTTAAAGAGATACGAGAATTATAATGACCAAGTGTTTATTCTCTGATGTTAAAATGGAGGTCTGTCCCTTTAATTTCGCTCTAAAGTATTTTAATATTTATTTTAATTTTAAAATATGTATATGCGTGTCTATATATATGGGTGTAGGTGCCCATGGAAGCCAGAAGAGGGTATCATATCCCCTTGAACTACAGTTATAGCAGTTGTAAACTTCCCCACATGGGTTCTAGGAACCAAACTCTGGTCCTCTGAAAGAGCAGCAAGCACTCTTAATCACTGAGCCATCTCTTCAGGTCCCCTCTAAATATTTTTAGAGTTAGTACTTCTCCCCTTCTATGGCCTAGAAGTCTACTCCTGCCTGATATAATAAATGTTGTCATTTGTAATGTCTTCAGAATACAAAGAACTACCAGTATATACATCCCACAATACTAGGGTAGTATAGTAGCATGTTCTTTTCTTAAATTTTTGGCTTAAATAGAAAAGGCAAAGTGTAAGGATCAGTTATACATATTTAGAAGGTAGCCATCTTTGGAAAATAGAGTGCTATTTTTATAAGTGAATTCCAAATCTGCATGCTCGATTCTATTTTCAGTTTTGATCATAGAGCCAGCCCATCAAACCCACTGAACATCTCTCAAGGATGAGAGGAGTAGGCTTTCACAGTTTAGCCAAAAGTGACTTCAGGTGTTTCCTTAGTCTGAAGGGGAAGGAACTCTGTCCTCCATGAAACAGAGATGGTCTTAATAAGCTGCAGTGCTCTCCCAGAGTTCACTGCTCTTCTGGACTGACACTAGGAGACCAGAACTTAGAATGTGTGACAGCCTCTTGGTGTAGGCACCATCTGACCTCGCAGACCAGGTAGAGCTGCAGTGCATAAGCTGTAGACTTGGACAGGTCTAGTTTGTATTCCTCCTATGCTCTTTGTCTTGGGGAAAATGATTAACTCTCAGTTTCCAGGTTTATAAAATATAATAAACACTTAACATGTCAAGGAGCTGCTTATAACGTTGCATAGTATCTGGTATGCAGATGTGGGCAATAATGAGAGCTGTTATTACTGCTGGACCCATTGATCATTTCTCCATTAACTTATCGTGGAATTATCTGCCTATCTCTCCAACAGGAAATAACAATGGCGTTTCTTTATTTCGTCCTTAAAATAGACTTTTAGGCCTTTATGTATAACTCTAAAAATCCTGGAAAACATACTTCTTACACAAGGCAGAAAACTCCTTGTACTGAAAGCAGTAGGTAATGCCCTACGGTGGTATTACTCCTACCTCAGGGGAGTCAGCCATAGCAGTTATCCACAGTTCATTTGGCCCCAAAGCAGGCACTGTGCCATAGGTGAACACCATCACTGTCACTGACCTTGGAGAGAGGGATGGGCTCCGGTTCTAGCAACTGCCGACTTACAGAGGGCTCGGTGCTTGATGAAGCAGTTCTCTCCAAAATGTGGATACTCTGCAAATGAACAGAAATACAGCCCAGGGTTAGAATCACATTGCTCCATTGCTCACATCAGTGAACATGGGGGATAGATCACACAAAGCATAGCACAAGCAGGAAGCTATGTTAAGAAATGGGTATGCCTTGGAGGTCAAAGACAACAGCAGAAGTCAGAAAGAGATCATCAGTGAGGGTTTTGTTTTCCCTCAGGCAGGTTTACTGCTGAATGTCTTCCACAGTGGGGGATCTGATCCTACAGGAGTCACAGAAGTGTCTCTGGGGAAAAAAAAAAAGAACCCTTTAAGACATGCAATACTGAATATGCCTGACATTTTCATTTGGGGAGAATGGCTCATCTACTACTTGGATTCATTAGCCTTACATGAAAAATTTTCCCATTTCTCCAACACAAAGTTATGTTTCATCTTATAAATTATTCTCTTCATTTTGTGAGAAACTGTAGTGATCTAAAGAATATTAACATTCTGGGTTTTGTAGACCCTTCTCTTTGGTTTTTTTTTTTTTTTCAAAGTTGATGTTTTGGATAGACTATGAAGGTCTATAAATCAGAAAGATGACAGCAGCTCAGCAGAAACAGGGGTGAAGCCTGAAGCCCATGAACAGGCAGCTGATGCCGGACCCTGGAAATGGTCTCCAACCTTAGCAGTATAAGAGAACGAAATCAAAAAACATAATACTTTTATCCATCAAATTCAAGAATGCATGAGAGTTGGGAGGAAAGAAGTGCAAACTGGGTATGCTCTTTCTAAAAAGAAGTTTAGCGATTATAAGTCTCTGGAAAAACAACCGTATGTCTCATAGACTTAGCTATCCCACCATTAAATCTTTAACCTAAGGAAATAATCAGGCAAATATGCAAAGATGTAAGAACAGATATACTTACTGAAGTACTGTTTGTTAGAATACAAATAGCTAAATACATTGAGAATAGTGGACTTATAAAACAGTAGCACAATGGCGAAGTGGATCTGTGCCTATAGCTTGAGTAAGAGTGTAGAATATAACATGCTATATATCGAATCAAAATTTACTACAAAATGGGAAAAGTAGTTAAAAGAAGGTGCGAGTGTTACAAGTGGTTTTAATTTTTTCCTTAAGAGTTTCCTTAAGAGTAAAAATATTCTTTGAGGGTAAATAGAGTTTAATTATATGTTTAGAAAATATTAAGTACTTTTGGGGGAAGGAATAAGTCTAAAAAGTAAACAATTTCATGGAGCTAAATAACTGTGGAGTAACTAACTCTGGAATAAATAACTCTTGGAGTAAATAACCCTGGAGTCAGACCAAGGTAGAAAATGTAACGTTTTCATTCTGGTAATAACACTTTTTTTCACAGACAAGATTTCTTAAAGACTTGTGGAGGTCTCTATTTTGGGTATCTCACTGTAAAACTGTTAAATTCTCAGGAGAAAAATTATTTTGACTTTGATCTGAGTCAAATTATTCTAGTATCTTTGTAAAGGTTCAAGTTTTGGATTATTTCTATTACCTGACAAATAATAAAAGACTGGCCATATATTTTTCAAACCCTACCTAACTGTGGGTTTAAAGCAATTTACTAGAAAGAAAATACTCAACATTGAGAAATTGTCCCTATTTTTTCAATTTCAGAGGAAATGGGAGACACAGCACAGCTATTTTTGAGGTCAGGGATTAGCAAGAATTACTAATCTGACAGTGTCCAAGGACATTTTAAGTATTAACCAAGACTCTGCTCTTTCCATGTATACACCTAATTCAATTATCAAAGAAGTTATAATAGTGGTTGTGAGTTCATATCTGTGCCAATGTCTTCATGGGAAAGTCAAAACCAAAGGCATGCTAGCAGTGAAAAACTGGGGCTGTGTCTGGACCTTTGACAGATGATATCTGAACAACTAGTGGGAACTTGCATTACTTGCATGCTCATGTTAATCCTTTTTAAAGTATCTCAGATAAATTAGAAACTTAGATTTATTATTAGAAATTACAGTGAGGATTTGCTGTTCAAACAAAAATTTTATTGCCTTCTTTGGGGATGTAATTCCCCTTTCTGATACATTTCATTTTCTTTTTGCAAAAGTTTTATATATATATATAAAATTTATATATATGTTATTTATATGTATAAACAAAGTAAAACAGTATCATTCTTATGACTCCTTAAAGTTTAGGAAATATGCATTTAAAAGTATTTTATTTATTTTTATGTGTATGAGTATATTGCCTGCTTGTGTATAAGTGTACCCACGTCATGCAGTACCCACAGAGGTCAGAAGAGAACATCGGATTCCCTGGAACTGGAGTTACAGATGGTTGTTAGCTAAAATGTGAGTGATGGGAACCAAACCTGGATCCTCTGCAAGAGCAGTCAAGTGCTCTTAACTTCTGAGCCATCTCTCCAGCCCTTAGGAAATATATTTAAAAAAAACACTCAGAACTGCTCTATGATATCTGTCCTCTAGGGAGGGGTCTTGTCATACAAAAGATCAATTAATGCTGAGCCAACTTTTGCAAATGCAAACATACGACTTCATGTGACTGCTGTATTTGCTTTAGCTTTCCAGTCAGGTGCCCCTGGTCTGAGCTTTGTTTAACCATTCTCCTCTTCCCCACATTTTCATGTTGGGAGGCAACAAAACTTACATACATTACCACCCCCCCCCAAGAAAACCATGGTCAGAAACACAAAACCTGAAAAGAAACCTAACTTTATCAATTATGTAAGCATGTAGCCAGGACACGAAGGGTAAACTCAAGCAATCTGACCAGGAAAAGGAAACCAAATTCTCCAGTTTCCAAATCAAGACACTCACACAGGGATCAACTTGCCTTATTTAAAGTGTGATAAATATGACCTGAGTGTCTATAGATAGCAAAGGGCTGTTAAATCATGGCCTCAATTGTGTGGACCAGAAGGATAAAACATGTGAACCAGCACCAGTACTGGAAAATAGTCTATTGTGTGCTTAGCACAGAAAATACAACATTGGGCCAGGCGTGGTGGTGCACGCCTTTAATCCCAGAACTTGGGAGGCAGAGGCAGGAGGACCTCTATGAGTTGAAGGCCAGCCTGGTCTACATAGTGAGTTCCAGGACAGCTGGGGCTACAGGGAGACTCTGTCTCAGAAAGACCAAAAACAATACAACATTGGTTTTCCTCTCTCTTGACTCTGCAGTAGTCTATATTGTGAAAAAAGCAAGAGGCTCATTCATTTTGAATACTCAATTTATCTATAATATTGTACATAATAAAATGAGTGAAAAATCTAAACCTTACATTTTGTTGTTTTTTTCAAGAGAATCATAAAACATGTAATGAGAGATAGTAATGAGACCTTTTATTACCACAAATGTGTGCATATATACTTCACTGGAAAATAATGAAAGCAATATTTATATAACTATCAACTGGTACCAATATTATAATTGGTAACTAACTTCTAAAGTAAGCTGTTTCCTTTAACTTCCAGTATGATACCAAAGAAATTAATAGCTTTTGAACAAAGTATTTATGTATATGTGTGTTATGCATATATGTAAGTGTACCACAATATTGGTCCTCCGCAGTGCCCACAGAGGACAGAAGAGGGATATTAGAGTCCCTGGAACTGGAGTTACAGATGGTTGTCAGCTGTCATGTGGGTTCTGAGAACTGAACCTAAGTCCTCTGGAAGAGCAGTCAGTGTTCTTAAGCACTGGGTCATCTCCTCAGTCCCCTAAACCAATAGTATATGATTAGAACCTAAGCACCATTATTATCCTAAAATAAAAAAATTAATCCAAGACAAAATTTGCTTCAAATTCACATTTTTAAAGAAAAAGCATATCCTTATTAGTAGCTATAAAAGTTCTAAGTTACACATCCAGTCTCAAGACTTTCATTAGATTAGAGGTAGGGCTGGTTCATCTGAACTTAGGAGCCTTGTTTCCCCTCACTGCACCCCACCCCACACAGTTTGGTGGTAATTCAGAGGAAGAGTATATGCTTAGTATGTGTGAGGCTCTGGGTCTGAGTCAAGGAACCACAGAAAGAAGGACAAAAAAAGGTTCCTGAACTTAACTTTTCAGTGTTTTCTGATTAATTTGTGGAGCCCTAATTCATGATTAGATATAAAAACACCTAGGTTTATTTTGGAATTGTAAAAACAGTTCTAATACAACAGAACTTCTGGAAACAGTGAAATTTACTTTTGAAAGTGAAAACTCTGGTGTATTAATCACAGAACTAGTGTTTACTAGATTTAAAGCTCTCGTCAAAGGGGGAACATATCCAATTTGATTTTATAATATCTGCAGTTATAAAATTAGATATTTTCATATAGTTTCTTTTAAGATCACAATTTGTGCTATAATTATACTTCTCTTTACAAGGCAGTTATTTTCACTTTCTTTCATGATGACTCGGAAATGCACGGCACTACCTTGAAGGTGTTATGTGTGTTATATAAGCAAGTTAAGTAGAGTGTTGTATAAACACACCCATTATTCTTTTAAAAATAATGCTTCCTCACAAATCCTAAAATTACAACTTAATTTCCAGATCAGGTAGGTAGGCATGCGTGCGTGTGTGTGTGTGTGTGTGTGTGTGTGTGTGTGCACGTGTGTGTGTGTGTGTGTGTACTGAGAATTTACCCAAGGCCTTGTAAACACCAGGCTAGGAACCTATCACTAAGTCATATGCCCAGCCTCTCCTGTCAGTTTTCCAAGGCATTAAGAACCCATAGAGATGGTGGAATTACTTACCCACCCCCTATTCCCCTTGCTCAGAGGGGACTGATGCATATGGAGCCCATTCTGAATCCTGAGCATACAGTTCCCTGAAGCTCCTCAGCTGGGTGAGTCTGTTCTTTGGTCTAGAGTTCACAGGTCTCGATACCTCCTGGGCAGCAAGAGGAAATCTGCCCACATGACTGTCCTCTAGTTTCCTCAGTGTCAATAAACAGACAACAATGAGACTGAATAATAGCTGACGAGTTCAGGGCAACTTACCCAGTGAGAAGCATGACTCCAGA